TCAAATGTCTCAAACGGATAAATGCCAAACTTATTACATAGGGTGAACTCATCTAACTTCGTGACAAAGGCATTTGAGTAATAAAATACCAATAAATTATTAATTAATTTAATTTAGTCTCCACATGAGTTTTAATCAGTCTTTTATGAGGAATATTAGCACAAATAATCAGATTTTTTTCTAGAAACCTAAGAGTTCTACCAAATTTACTAAACCGAATTATTAGGCGAGTCACAGAATTAGATGAGTTCACCCTACTACGAATATTTATGTATTTCTTGTAAGACAAAGTAGAATTCGACATACTATTGCCATTTTCCATTTGGCATGCCATTCAAGAAGAAAATGCAGTGGGAAAATCAATACCAAAAATTGGTCATAGTTCTATTAACGACCATTTGGACATACACTTAAAATATCCCTACTAAAGTAGTTTGCTTACAGTAAGACAATTTTCTCATTTCATCATAAAACAGAAATATTAACATAACATACCATCACGCCTTTTATCCCCGCACAACCACTGTATAATGCAACACCCACTTTTCACTATTTATGTTATATGATCCCATGTTATTACATGGGATCATATATATATATATATCCGGTATATGGCAATAGCCTATTGCCATATACCGGACACAATTCCAGTGTGACTTGACTTGAATTGACTCTGTGACTGAGATGTTTTTTAAAAACCCAGTTATAATTTGCCTGACCTGGGAATCGAACCCGAAACCCCGGTCGCACTTGCGATCACTCGGCCAGCGAGGCAGTCAGACAGTAAACAGAAATATTATTATGATTAATTACAAAATTATCTCAAATAAGCTTTGACAAAATAATTCTACACGACACGAATAAAACTCAACAGATAACTCGTTACCTAATAAAACTTAGTACTAAGTAAATATCAGTGTAAGAAATACTCAAAATTGACTTAGTATAAATGAGAAGTTTATAAGTACTCACAGATTAACTTAGTATCCGAACAACAAACTGGAGAAAGATGATCAAGTTGAACATTATAGTTAATCTAACAACTTTAGTTAGGTTATTACCTTGTTATTTGATAAACTTAGCAAACCTCAATGTTTTTGTCTTGGTCTTAAAAATAACTAGCTTATTCTTAGTAGAGAACATAATATGAAACAATTTGAGAAAACATGGCGTAGGTTTATTATTTTGTAACTTAACATAATGGCGCGCTGTGTACTTCTGAAGGTTTTGGCAAATTACTCAAATTAAATATTATTATTTAATTTATGTAATTTGACTGCACGGTTAGTGGCTGGGCAACTGGCTGCCGCGCAACGTGTCGCGGGTTCGATTCCCGCACGGTACAACTCTTTGTGTGATCCACAGATCGTTGTTCCGGGTTTGGGTGTGATGTGTACGTGCACTTGTATGTTTGTAAACGCACCCACGACCACCAACAAACCACACGCCAACGTTTTTTTTTTTAAAAAGAAAAAACATATTATTTATTGTTTGACAAAGAATATTACGCTTAAGATTGTTGTGACTACTATCGTACCACGCCGCCCATCGAATTTATAAACTACACGCTTCTTAAGTCCACTACGTAAACGACTGATCATCTGCAGCAATAACATTGTGACGATATCTATGTACTCAAAAAGGATTTTTTTTTTTGAGGGGGGAAAATCATCGAATGACTGCTCCCGCCTGGGTGAGGCGGAAGGGCGTGTCAGACTCTTACTGACTAAAAACCACCCCGTTCCTTCTCTTGCACGTCGAGCCGGAGCCCCGGTTACCCGTTAGGTTCTCCGCGACACTCAATAAGGATAGTCGAAAAACATAGCCTTATTCTCAAACCAAGATTTCTACCACATCAGGTAACACAGTCCAACAAATCGAGTAACATCAGTCCCAAAAGTCAGTTGGAAAAAGGTCAAGAGAAAGAAATGTTGTGTCGTGTCAGTAATGTCGTTCAATGTAGTGGAATAACGTTTAGTTGTTGGTTGAAGAGCTTCTTCAGTGAGCTCTGTCTGTCGGGCTCTCGATCCCATTCACTGTCACCGTATGTACTTACAGGTCTATGTTCAAATTACATGTCTACCTTACCGACTGCTTAATTTAATTATACTTGGTTATGTGTAAGTTTGTTATATGACTCCTAGTCTTTGTGTGTTGAATGGAAATGTGTTTAATTTAAAATATTTTAAAGGTTTTCGTTTCTTAGTGAACATTTATTTTCTTGTTATGAACATGATACATTATAAGTAAGTGTCAGGACAAGAGCTGAAAATGTTTAACTGCTGATCAAAAAATCATAACAAAATATTTAAGTATGTACATATAAATCACATTTTTACGTTTTATTATGGAATCAAAAGAAAAGAAGCTATGATCTGTATGCCTGCTGCATACCTACTACAAGAGATTTAATAATATCAATTTTATTAAAATACTGAACACATTTGCGTGAGAATTTCTCTCACCCCCCAATTGTACTATTCCCAGCTTGATATTTCCAAAGTTGAAATTAATTTCAGATTCCAATGTCATTATATATTGCCTTCAATAATTCCCCAAGTTATGGTAATCCTAATCCCACGCCAATTGCTGGCCGGCCACTGCATTAATTTTCCTAAAATATGATAATTTTCATTATTCCACCGAAATTATAACCTACTTATTGTAATGAAAATATTCTGGACCAATTTGGAACTTATAATCACATTATAAGTTTGAAAATCCAACCGTAAATAAGATATGAAACTTATCTTTTCTTCTAGTATTTTCTTGATGAATCTTACATATGACGAACATATGTCTAGATAAGTTTGTAGATAGACAAAGAAAACACAACAAGACCTAATTAACTCGTCTACCAATAGCTGTCCTTTCTTTGTTTATTACCTATTGCTAAAAGTTATCAACTAGAAAAGAATGTGGTGGAAATCGACCACCGGACGACCAATAGTAACAATAAATCAGTACTTACATATTGGCTATTTTAGATAAGATTACAGAATTAAAGAATAAATTATTAAATCTGGCTCGTACTTACGTTATTTCTGTTATTGCGTCATAAGAAGCACTATAAGGAATTAGAAACTCAACTATCAAAGATAATTGCGAATATCTATTGCGCAATCATTGATTTGTTCGACTAATTTATTATTACCTATTTTTTTCTAGTCTTGTCAATCAAGTGGTCGTAAGCCTGACTACCAAAATTTCGAACTAGATTATCTATTAAGGTAAAGGATAACTAGGTTTTCTATTTAGGTACCTACTGTAGGTAGTAGCCACGAGGTCTAGTATTATTACATAGGACAATAGACTCACTCTTTGTTTCCAGGAATTCGTAACTAACTTAATTATCATGCTTTTCGGCGTTTTCACGTAATTATTTGAGGAACTCGACGAGTTTCAAGCCATGCTAGAGGCTCATATTCATGAGCAGCATTCCGCGACCCGCGACGCAGCGACTGTCACGCTGTCACTGTTAGTCGTCAAATATTTATGTCTCTAATAATCTTCCTTGTCAAATAATTACATGAGTAAGTCGAAATCTCTAAATTATAAATGAAACCCGTTTCCCGTTGTCACGCCATGACTTGAGAATAGCTGGACCGATTTTTTGTTGTGTTTGTTATTGTCAAGAGAAGATTCTTATTATTGAAAAAAAACCTGAAAATTTTATGGGAACGGGAGAAAACGGGATTGCGCGTACGAAGTCGCGGGCAGAACCTATACATAATAATTAATTTCGTAACTAACTGGCGAAAGGTATACACCTTTCGCCAGTTAGTTAAATATATTGTATATCTTTAATATGTAAAACTAATAATAAAGTCTTTTGACACAGTTAAATGTATTAAATGATCACACAAGCTCTCAACTAACACCTGCTTTATGAGTAGGTATAATAGAGTAGATGCCTACTTTTTATTTTAATGTCCGTCTGGTAGATTTCTTTAAATAAAATTTTTGAAGGGGGAAAATCATCGAATGACTGCTCCCGCCTGGGTGAGGCGGGAGGGAGTGTCAGACTCTTACTGACTAAAAATCACCCCGTTCCTTCTCCTGCATTGATTTGAAATGTCGCATGACGTCACTTCTATGTACATTTTATACGTAGAAATGACGTTATAGTGCCCACTCCTAAACTTTGATTTGTTTTATCTAAGTATTGTTTTATTATACAACAAAATAAAAAATACGTGTCCAAACTTACGGACTAATTATATTTTTAATTTTCATACCCTGTCATCATTTCAGTTGATATTGTTTATACATTTAGGTAGGTATAATCTTTTATTTTTGCTTTCAGATTAAGATTCTCGTACTGTTTAGTACAGATGAGTTTTTCCTTAATTAGCTATTCCGAGACTTGTGTCTAATAATGATAACGATTACAAGAAATTATTTTGTGGACTTTGATATTCTCTTAGTTTCCTGTTATTAAATGGAATGTATAAAATAGAAATTGTAAATAAGAGTCGAATTGATCGTTAATAGGATTTCCTTCTTTCATAAAAGAAATTAATGATTTTATATTTGATTTGATTGAATTGGTTTTCATCTGGAAAATTTTGTTTGTGTTGGAAATAACTAATAATCTACTATCTACTTAACGTAACATTGAAAAGGAAATTCATCAACGAAGTAGATAGAGGAATATTTATAGAACATTATCGACATGAAGACCCTTAAAGACCTGAAGATTCTTAAAGACCCATTTTAAAAGCAACCAGTCTGAAATCCAGGTTACTAAACCCTCAGGTTTATTTACTGTACCCTAAGCAGTGTCCTTCAAGGCCCGAGTGAATAGGTTGCTTATGGACAACGTGCTCCATCTTAGACCGCATCATCGCTTACCACCAGGCGAGACAGTGGTCAAACGACGACCCATAAAAATATATACAAAAAAACGCCTGACAAGGTGGTCTGTCTTATTTTTCTTGAACATTCAATACCTTTTTAGATATGAAAAACCGAATTAGGTAATGGAAAACGGTATTTACCGACAACTTCTAAAGGTGCAGATCGTATTTCCGTGTGGAAGGTCGGTGCATCCGCAGATACTTCGCAACGGAATCGACCCGCCATTGCAGGCGTCGCCTGCTGTAAAACCACGCGACGAGCACCCGATCTTGATATCTGCGAAGAGGAAAAATATAATTTAATTATAATAGAATATTTTCCGCAATTATATGTATATCTCGAGTATCTATTTCGTAATTATTTTGTCTTAAGCCTGTATAAATCTCAGAATATAATCTAGGATCAGATTTTTGCTTATCACTGGGGAATTATGGTTTGGTATTTTGTTTCAACTTCCTCATAATTTGAGTGATCGTAAGTGCTTGCTAATTGAAGCATCGGTTTCAGCGTCGAATTTCACATGAAAAAAAAATGTAGATATTTGAAAATGTTTAGTAATAGCACACAATCTCTAACTATGGACTATTTAGTATTAACCTCTTTTGAGAACCAAAGGATGACTATTATTTAGTTTACTTATAAAGAACTTTTTTTACTAATTGCCAAAACATGATTTGCAGAAATAAGGTCTTAATAGATTAATTTATCATATGGTCCAACACAGGAAGCCGATAACTACTAAATACCTGAAGGCTTACCCTAGTTAAACATGGGTAGATAAGCATTTTGTTTATTTATGTTTGTACGTATTGTCGAGTAAAAGTAAGATAAAGAAAAAATAAGTTTAAATTACATATATCTAATCATCTTCAAGACTAGTACCTATTGGGGTAAGTAGAGCCTGTAGAACACCAATCAACATGATTCTTTAAACTGTAGTAGCAAGTTGTATAAAGTCACTTCGCCGATTAATTTCCTAAATTCTACGTAGGTACTATCACTGGAATAATAGGGAACCTGCATTGGTTCTGGCAATAGGTTTACTCCTAGAATACGGATGGCGAACTATTGACACATATATCACTGATCGCACAATATTCCGGGGATGTTATTGATCACATGTCCTATGTCGTTATTTTCAAATATGAATAATATTGAAGATTCAGTTACACGAATAACTCTAGTTCCGTTTGAATTTTGATTAACAAATTACTAAAAAAAAATATTATTTTGATGACACAAGTACCAACCTCGAAAAGTATTTTTTACAAAAATGGCACGTCCTGTACTAGGTACATGGTATGTAACGTAAAAATTGAGTGTTACATTTATAATCTGTTCACAGCACCGGTGCACTCCATCAGGGACTCAGGGAATAAAAGGTGTTGTTATATTTTGTTTAATGTTCAAAATACCTATAAACCTTTAATAAACTCAGAGCAAATCAAAACCCAGTTAAAAAGAATTCATTTACACTGAACTCATTCCGAATAAATATTATATAAAATATATTTATACTACTTTTATTTATTTACGTTTACTATCACTAAACTTACTCCATATTTTTCTTCAAACGATATAAGTACGTGATCCATCCACTTCAGCTCAATCGTGTTTATTAATCCCACGGAAAGGTCGCAAACCTAATGCGATACACCGCAATGTCCCAAAGCCGATTTATTAGACCTCTACGTGGCGATTATTGGTCATGAACTCATGAATATTTTCTGCTTTACACGACCTCTTTTATCCTTTTCCTCTTTTAATCAAGAGGTAGTAATTTAAAAATGACAGCTTCGTCATAGTGGTCGCAATTTTGAGAGATCTCTGGTGACCAAATTGGAAAAGGTAATATGGAAATATTCGATTTTTGCCAGTAACAGCTTGAAGTTTGAAATTGCGGTTTGTGTATCACAGTGAATTCGCTCCGTATTATATGGATTACATTATAACCAAAAATTGCCCTATATTTTGGATTATACCTCTATACACTTTCCTTCGTGACAGACAGAACAGAGGGCGTGTTGTAAGCACGTAACACAGTGTACCGCCCCATCAAACAAGCCACTATCTCTTGTCACATCACTAAACAGAAACCACGGCTTGTACTACGTCTAATTATAGCCACCATAAATTCTACCAAAGCATTCAATATCGATCATATAAAAAGGTTCATTTAAAAAGCGCCCTTCCAAGGCTAAGTACCCTAAATACTACAATTTGTAAGTAATTTATAGTGCCACAAATTAAGATTAATGTTACTTGATATTGGGGAAGCATCCGAAATAAATGTTTTAGTGCGTAGTAAAAATAAGAATTAGTAACATCGTCATGTTTACGACTGACGGGAATCGAACTGTAGGTCGTCAGTTTTACTGTTTTACGCTAGCCTTTGTTGGGAATGACTTTAATTTTATTTATTTTTATCCTGTTGATTACAATTGAAATGAAATGTAACATTTTACCAACGTGTTTGAAGAAGGCAACGTTATATATACTGCACAATGCACCCTACTCTTCGCGAGTCATGTTAGCTTTCCCTATATTTGCATAATGTACTACGTTGTTAAATAAATCAATGACATTTTTCACGACCCAGTACCTCATGTTTGCAATCACCCTCTCTACCGTTAAATCCACCCAAAATACAATTTCAATCTGTACTGTCGTTCAATTTACCTCTAATATCTTTCTTCCGTCCCATTTCTTTTCGGTGCGTGACGATGAGGGTAATTAAAGCAAAGAAAGAGGCTATTTACTCTAGTAGTCTGTATTTATACAGGCGCTGCTACACGTTCAGCCACGCTACTTCAAAGTTTATCCTCTAATTCGTCCTTTTTGATTCCAAAGGTACGTACGGTCAAAGAGCACATTACAAACTTTTAGATGTTGATTGAGAAATAAAACTTGGTACGTATTTCTAATTCTGGCGATTCATTCATAAAATAGAAAGTTGGACTTTATTCTGGGACTATTAGAAATCAGTATGTCTTATCAATATTTATGAAATCCTATAAAAATCAATCCTTAAACCACCTACCATTGTGAACTTAAATCACCTTGGTGAAATCGCTCACCCATTGGTGATGCATCCTCCTTCATTAGACCTGTTGCTATATTACTGGAAAGTTTAACCTGCCTATAACTAAGGCCCGATTTTATAATCATCAGTTTATTTTTAACTGTAGAATAAAATTGATATTTGATAGGTCTTAGTATTTCTCAGTTAAAAATCTGACGTTAGAAAACCGGCACTAAGTGCAGTAAAATCGTCTACTACACTTGTTATGTTAACGAAAGCCCTTGTCCTACTTTAAAATCTAGTAACAGCTACTGACAAAACAACAAAGAGCGCTGTTTGATATTAATAAATTAATGCTCATCAACTTTTATCCCCGACTGTACGCTGAAGTTTTCCAAGTAAGGAGGCAAGAAGTAATTTGTTGAAATCCATCTCTTATTTAGTGTGAAATCTATGCATTAGGTGACGTCAAACTTTCTCCAGCCAGCTGCCACGTTTCGGAATATAATTCGCATATTCATTTTATAACTTCAGTTTAGGTGAACATCGGTCTAACTTCACTGAGATATTCGTTTGTTCTTTCTACTTATACAGTCATATAAATTCACATGTGTAGTCGAATGTAAGGTGTCTGTATTTAAATAGACAAATATCTTAATGTCTAAATCTCGTTAGTTATTATTTACAAAGTATAGACTTCAGTCGAACCTAGGTGACTCAGCGCCAATACTAAATAAGTTAAGAAAATTCTAGAACAAAATACTTTACTAGACAAAATAATAACAACTTAACTAACGCACGTAAGATCTTTAGCACAAAATCCATTAAGTCGACGTTTTCTTCATATATTTCTTGAGTAAAAATATTTTATCATTGTCGCACGTTCCTATTAGGGGCCGATCTAATGAAATCGTACATCAGATTTCATCTCGGAATTGCTTATTTCAGCTTCCAAAGCTATAAGAAGTCGCCTATCAAAGTTAGGCGGGACGACTCAACTCAATATACGATTTCCTCATAATGTAATTTTGTTGTGTTATTTTATGCCCCGTTTTGTCGCGCAGCAGTGATTCTGTTTTCTAATACTTTTAATTAAAGAATTACCACAGACGTTTATCTTTATCTAGATATAATTTATTATTAGACTGCAATCAAAATTTTGCGACGATTAATATTTTTATGCCTCTTCGGGTTTCGTATGATATTCTCAATTAAAGTAAAACAAAATGATAGGTAGTAAAGTACATACATACATACATAACATCACGCCTTTTTTCCCCGAAGGGGTAGGCAGAGGTAAACATTACGGAACTTAATGCCACTGTACAATGTAGCATCCACTTTTCACTATTTATGTTATGAGTCCCATTTTCAATCAGTAGTCGAGCCTATTGCCGTATACCGGGCACACTTCTAGACTCTGTGCTACTACTGAGATGCTTTTTAAAAACCCAGTAATACTTTGCCCGACCCGGAAATCGAACCCGAGACAGGCAGACGTAAAGATAAAGATAGCAAGAGACAGGGAGTAAAGATTAGTGCAAATATTTTTCTAATAAAATAAATCACAATAAGTAATGACTTACAACAACAATACAATGGGTACAGGTACATGGTTATAGGTACAATGGTAGGTACCTTAGCGTCATACGTATCTTTTTTAGGTGACATTTGTTACCTACACAATTTTATATAGTAAACATACGAACGTTGCATAAGAGATAATTCACAGGTTAATGAACTTTATGCTGCAATATTTTACATGTAATAATACCCACAGACCCCTAAAAACTACTTCTAGAACATTGTTCGCGAAATATTATTAAAGCGTGAAACGTTATCTATCGAAACATCCGGGTACTAATTGCTAATCTTCTATTGTAACTGATCAAACTTCGTCGGGTGATTAATTAATATCTGATTAAAACGTAGGTGTCCGACAGAGTAGAGAAATAATGTCATTAGAACACGCCGTGGACATAAGTAAGAATAATATGATTATATCTTCCACTATCTGAATAGATAATTGGAATTTTACTACGTACTTACAAACCTTTAAAAAATCTACCTTAAGAATAAGTGTCATGATGATGTACTTTTATGATATTGTTTGACCAACAGAGTAAAATAAATTGCTTTCGATCCAATAACTAATAACATAGTTATAGACCAAACATGGCTTTACGTACGAAGGTAAACCCTTTAGCTGTTCTGTTTATACTTGTATATAAGTTGAAGAAATCTTAAAAATTTTTTTAAACGTTGCCCCATTGTAGGATTTTCTCCTGTGTCGTGGGTGCGTTTACAAACATACAAGTTCATGTACACATTAACATCCAGACCCAAAACCACAATTTGTGGATTACACAAAGTGTTGTTCCGTGCGGGAATCGAACCCGCAACACGTAGCATGGCAGCCGGTTGCCCAGCTACCGCACCAACCGTGTAGTCGACAACAACAGTGATGAATACAAAAAAGGTGTAAATGTGACATTATTCGTCTTCAATCCTGTGGGGGTCACAATGAGTGCTCTATCCTCCCCAAGTACACGTCATCTCATCACTCATTTTAAGTAGGTACTTACGAACATTGCTGATTAGATATACCAATTACGAAAGTGTCTACAAATCATACAAATTACCTCATAATCTAAGATTTGTTGTAAGAGTCTTTAATTATAAACTTTATTTCTGAGAATTCTCATATTATATTAATTATTTAATGATAAATTATTTTGGTATTTCCGTGCTTTGAATACATCGATAAGATGAAATCTATTTATAGCCAAGAAAGAGGATAAGAAATAAGGAAAGGTTTCTTTCAAGGTCTAAAATTAAATAGGGATTTTTTTTAAGAAGGGAAAATCATCGAATGACTGCTCCCGCCTGGGTGAGGCGGAAGGGAGTGTCAGACTCTTACTGACTAAAAACCACCCCGTTCCTTCTCCTGCACGTCGAGCCGGAGCCCCGGTTACCCGTTAGGTTCTCCGCGACATTAAATAGGGATAGATATAGGTATGTGAATACTAACCTAAGATACACTTCAGTCTTTAGAATATCTCCTGGGATTAGTTCCACAATCTCACAACAACTATTCAGTAAGTAACTTAGGAATAATGTACTATTGTGGTTCAATAATCTGAACGCTTGTAAAAACAGTAAGCTAACAGCAAATTGTCAAGTGTTGCTACAAAAATATAAATAGAAATTCTAGCTTCGTTCCTCCATTTTCTATCTAATCTACAGCTTTCAAAATCATAGTAAACTACCTGGAAAGTCAAAGAAGCCTAATAAATATTAACCTAAGTAATTACTTTTATAACAATTTACTATTCTCACTGAACCTGGGCCTGTCTCCATTAAATATGTAACGTTTACTTCAACTTACAACACAATACTTGAAAACTTTCGTTGACGAAAGAAAATGAAGATTAATAATATTACTTGCAAATAAATCTTTGATGTTTGAACAGAAACAAGACTTGTACATTGTCTTTAAAACGAAAGTCTCGCAAAATAACTGGAGGCGTATTACATTAACGTAAAGCTAATGAAATTATCTTCGAATAATCTGAAAATTCTCAATCTGTACCGTTTGAAGGAAATGTTGTGTAAAAAAATAATTTGATACCAATTTCTTCGTTTTTGTCCTTTATACATACTTATACGTATATCCATGTCGAACACAACCTCCTTTTATATTAAAATGCGTGTAGGTGATACTTAGAATTTTTTATTTACCTATTTCGACATCATGACTGTAATTTGTTATTGATAGGTAGTCTTAGATGTATAGTTACGTAAATGTAATAACTGTGTCCAAAATTATAGTGCTTCACTGTCGATATCGTTAGTCTCTATTGTCGTGTCCTATTTAGTCTACCATAATTTTATTACAACAAACTTCTCAACGACTCATTGAGCTTACTTACCTATCAACTTATCATCTATTTTGAGAACTAAGATGTCAAGTAACCTTGATAGTCTGGGTCAAAGACAAAGTCAAAGTAAAAATGTTATTCAAATTAGACCGTAAAATGTACGTTTTTCACGAAAAACATCACAAAATACGTGTCTAAACATGTTCGACAGTCTATCTTTTATGAAACCGAACGAGGCTCAACTCGAGAATGTCGTAGATATATCCTTTAAAGACTCGGTGCCAATCCCAGATTAGATGATAAAAAGGCAAAAAGAAAGAAAGTAGAAAAAGCAAAACGAAATCCCCAAGAAATCCCATTGTTTGTAAACCGCTACGCTTAAGTTTATTTTGAAGATCCAAATATAGTTCGTTCAATGTAAGCATACCATAAACGAGAGTTAATAAATAAACTTTTTTCCGAGAGTGTGTTCTCGCCTGCCCTAACAACTCGTGTAAGTGACTTCCAATATACCTACCATAAGTGCTGCCAGGTTTAAAGCTATAAAATTACACGTTGTACCCCCAGCTTTATCAGCCTCGAACGTGAAATTTGTTTGGAAACTTTTAAAGAATGGATTTGCTTGAATTTTCCAATGCATCTTTGAGACTTAGAGATAGTATATGGACCCAGAGGAGAATAAAGTGCAATCCGGTAAAGTTATTACTGTGCTAGTGGTGTGCTACTAGTGTAATGGTCATTTTATATTATTGTGGCATGATTATTATATTATCTTATATTATCGTTGTGCATTATTGCATCATATTAAGCATATCTTTGAAATATTAAAGTGTATCTTCAATAAACTCATGGCTTGCTTCTTGCGCCTACCATTTACTCTTCTCAGCATCACCCAAAGGTCAGATTAGGGAAAAATGCCTGCGGGATTAAGTCCACCTGTTGTACAATATGTGTATTAAACAAATAAATAAATTCGTTTACGTAGCTCCTTTCCGCAAATTCTTCCCATGAGCTTTATAATGTTCGACGTTTAATTACTTAAACATGTACGGAATCATAAGATTTTCTTTCATTTATCTCGGTCTACTATTCGTTTTTTTTCTATTGGTTACGCAAGCGGTATTAATTAATGCTCTGGGCAAGCAAAGCTATAATGAAGTTTTTAGCGATTCCTGGTTTACATTCATTAGTAGCTTCTCGTTCAATAAGTTATTACGTAAGGTACGTTGATTTGTTTTTATGTTCGTAAATTATCTTACTTACATCTACTTCGATTCCTGGTAGTGGAAATACTCTGGTATGTGGTAGTTCTTTGGGAATGTACCGGTAGAATTCTTCCCTCCCTCGGTACCACTTCACACTATATAATGCTTCTTCATCTTCTAACTGCCAGCTACATTCTAGTGTGACTGTTTCCCCAACCAGAACTGCGTTGGGGACGTTGATCTCCAGATTGTGAAGACCTCTGACACCTGTGAAAGAAATCGTACCATCAGTTTGTCTTCTTGTAACCTGGTTAATATTAATCTTTCAGATAGAAATAATCTGAATATGTCGTCTGAATAATCGTCAGGTATGGGTTTATTATGAAATTTTCTCCTGGATAATGCATAATTTTCATTTTCATTACATTTATATTCTCGAATAAACCAAAACAATTTTCTAAATACTACATTCAACATATTGAATATCACAATAAACTGTAATTCTTGGAAAATCTAAATAGATGTATAATACTAAAAGCACATCAGATTTTAACTAGGTATACACATCTATACTAATATTTATATTATAAATACGAAAGTGTGTGTCTATTTATTTGTCCATCTTTCATAATAATACGGAGCGCCGATTTTTTTAAGTGAAGATAATCGATGGAAAGTGACCTACGCATTTTTTTGTTTCTTGCTCCCCACTTCCCTAGAGTGGGAGTTTGTATGGAGCATTCTACAATGTTCAAGGCAGAAAGCTAAAAATTTTTATGCAAACAATTTATGATAGACTTAAAAAGTCATCAAACCATATTTTTTTTAGATATACCTTTAACCCCTTAAAAAGCGCGTGCAAACTGCGACCGAAAAGCTAGTTAGTAATATGTATAACTGATGCTTTTACATGAAACTGAGAATGTAAAATTATATTATATCACAGCTCTAGGTAATAGAAAACGTAATACCATAACCAGCCTATTGCTAAATTTGAAATCGAAACTGGAACACGAGCAAAATAAAGCGAATAAGCCAATAACGATCGCTATTCCACTAAGCAGATTTACCAACATTGGCCCAAATGAAACTTGTGTTGTAGCTATCACAATTAGGAGTTCCATTACCAACCGCAATGAAAGCAGTTGTTGAGCCCCGAATAAACAATGCTCTACTCCGATTCCAAAATGCCATAGAAAATAGACTCCAACTTGAAATGGCTTTACGTGTGTACTGTGTACCTTCTTAGATGTATACAAAGGGTACTTTTTGTATACTTATACTCGTAGCTCGGTTGATCGTTTATTGTTTTGTATTGGGTGAATGAATGGTCTAGATATTTTAAGTGAAAGAAATTCAAAGCCAAAGTCAAAATCATTGATTTCAATTAGACCAGTGCCTTTAGCCAAACTACAGAGAGTAGACAAGCGGTAAAGGGGCGTTAGAGAGAGTAGAAATCAAAATGTATGGGGATGATACTGACAAGTGTCAAAATTTACGTTAATTCCATATAATTTGGTTTTCTATTCTACATGTAGACAAGCGCTAAATGGCATTTGGCTAAAGCTGCATGACGGCACTTCTGAACGTCAACAACAAAAATTTAGAAGTGAAGCAAGTTGCTCATTCCAAGGTGTAGATTTCTACGGCGAAAAACGAGCAAAAAAACTCCATAGTCATACGAGCATAAATCCTCCACTCTTTCAATCAGGTTTACATAGTTTTGTTGGTTCGATTGTATGAGAATAATGCACAACAATCAATAATGAACAATTGAATACATAGTACTGATGGTACTAGGTAGGTACTGACAGTTGGATAGTAGCAATAAGCATACTCTAAGTCTAAACGTTTGGTGGTTTCAAGCAATTCAAAGCGTCTTATCTATTTATTTATATAAATAAAAATGTATTTGCGTTATTTCCGTTCGTTAGTCTCGCTAAAATTCGAGAACGACTAAACAGATTTGGCTAATTTTGGTCTTGAATTGTTCCTGGACGCTAAGTGACGGTTTAAAAGGTGAGAAAACCAATTTAAGAAGAATTTACGAAGTTTGCCGGGTCAGCTAGTATTGATGATATATTTATAATTATTTTGATTTGATAGTCTTATTTTTGAAAAGTTCAACTGAGAGATATTGAGCGTACTTAAATGTGAATTTATGTTTTGGAATATGAGAGAACAATAAGACAATCTTTGTATAATTTTAAACCTAAATAGGTATTTTATATCTACTTTTACTTGTTTAGGTAAGCGTATTGCGCACTACTTTGAGTAACTATAAATTATTTTGACACGAAACCTATTTAAGCTAAGTGCAATTTTATGTTGTAGGCTGGAAATCGAATCCATTAGTAAATATAGGTGATGTATCAAATAGATAAGAGTGTTTTTACTAGTTGTATTGTATTATCACCTACACGTGGTATGGCAAAAAGCGAATGTACCAATTACCATATTCACGAAGCCAGATCATGTAGATACTAATGTCGGATTCCCAAGAAATTGTTTATTTACTTACTTACTGCTATATATTAAACGTATTTCCCAGACTTCGTACTATTTATCCAATACTAATTGCTACCTTCAAGCACAATCAGACTAAGAATATAGTGGTTTATTGAAATGAACTCTAACTAAGAACTAAATAAAGTAAACCAATGGGATAACCTTTTGTTTCTAAATTTGAACATCTTCTCTTTTCAATGTCTTCATCAATCTACACACAGGCAGACATTACTGCGTGCTTGTCTACCGTTGAAACTATTATCCTGCATACGTTTACGTGACCTTCCATCTCCAACAAAGGCCATCTATGCATACTTCACGACCGCACTTTATACGGACCTTTAGATTTTGGGTAGAAAAACAAAATGTGTATAGGTATGCATTAATTATTTATTTATAACTTTAGCTTTAGCACGCGATTCCAGATTCTATTATCATCTTCTTATGTCAACAGTAGATGGAGCTTACAATAATCTAAACTAAAGCATCCATCAATCCTCTACAATTCTCAAATTCCCAATTCCTAAAAGGCTGGTAACGCACTTGTAACGCCTTGGTGTTCTAGGTGTTCATGGGCGACGGCGATTGCTTACCGTCTGTCCGTCAGCTCGTTTACCGGCTAATGCCATAAAAAAAATCATTCTGTTTCCGTACAAGTACAACCAATTTCATTAAGAACAGTTCAAGTTTACCATCCATCGCTAGATCGGGGGCCTCTTCTCGAAAGTTTGCCATAGTTACCATGGGCCATGCTTCGCTTGTGGGCTGAAGATGACTGTGTAAAGGGATTTATCCAGTTTGTGACAAATACGTATTTCCTAAGATGGCTCTAACGATACCCTAGGAAGGAGTAGGGATGATGACAAACGTAATATACTCCGCCATCACATCATGGCTTATGCTAATACATAGGTACCGACAAAAAAGTAAAAAGTAGAGCAGCCATAAGTTCATTGAACGCATTTAAAAATAAAATAAATATTATATTTATCTGCTATCACGAATTAGAGGAAGGTGCGCCAATGTTGGGTATTTTTATTCAGATTTATGAGATACAATAACATTGACTTATAGGCAATATAAAATGATTCATTGCATTTATCAAAACTTTTTGATTTTATCTACAAAACCAGACTGATATTAAGATATTATTTTTTTGTATAAGATTTGTGTAAAAATAGAATGCCATATAAGTAGTGTTTAAAAAATAAACACCTTTTTCCCTGCAATACCTATAAGGGATTCTTTTTTTTCCTGTTTGTCTATAAGACTCCTGGTAAATACATCATTATCATGTTAGCCACAAAACGTTTTGTAGCTAAAAAATAAAACCTCACATATACACAATTTGTTCAACCCGTGTCGTCTATTTTTTTAATATGGTGTTATGTAACATTCTTATAAGAACATTACGTGTAGTAGTAACACTCAAAACAAAGTGTGAACATCTTCACAAGGATACGAACGATTTACCAATTTATGGTTCCAAATTGATCTGATAACGTTGGAAGGATGCTGCTTATCCTGTGCGAATATGAGACAAATGAGGGCAAGGAATCAACCGGTTGTTGGGCACTTTAGTAGAACAGCACCATGTGTCATAATTTCAATTATCTGCTAACCATACACGTCGCGGAGAACCTAACGGGTAACCGGGGCTCCGGCTCGACGTGCAGGAGAAGGAACGGGGTGGTTTTTAGTCAGTAAGAGTCTGACACTCCCTCCCGCTTCGCCCAGGCGGGAGTCGCAGTCATTCGATGATTTTCCCAAACCATACACTTTGGATGTTTAAAAATAAATAATGAGTAATTTAATAATGTGTATAATAATAAATACTGTGTAGGTACTTCAATAATGGCCTTGCATACCTTATTAATAAGCAATACATTTTTAGTTTATTTTCAAGAAATTATTTTGTTTAAGTGATACAAGTAATTATAGTATTATAGAATGCAGTGCTTCTATCAGCTTGTGTTAGTAAACTTCATAATAGGAGTAAAGATTTATATGACTAACAATTGCTATGTCGATACAGGTACCCGTACGAAGCTTCACAATACAGCAACAACGTTTTACTCGGAAGAAAATCTCATACGAGGCAGAAGCTGCCGTCTCATTGATCAAAATGTCTTCTTATTGTAGCAGGAAACAATAGATGAGGTCAGAGCAAACAACATTTTAGACTGGCCTACATTCCCCCTGGGCATCGGCCAGCTCCAAAACGTTGTTCGGAAACGTTCAAATATACTGAATAAATAAATAGAAAACGTTCTCGTGAAACGAGAAATAAAATAGACATTCAACCATCAAAAGAAGAATTAAAGAAGCTTGGTGAGATTACGAAATGTATAACAAGCCTTGCTACATAAAACGAGGCAGCTACCAACTGAATGAGACAGATTTTACGAATAAAAGTGGAGCTGAAACATAAAAAGATGTGAATAAAAACATTCGTTTCTCTTCTCTTATAAAACGTTAATTTTCTTGATTCGTTTAATCCATACGAAATATGTTCTTGTCTTGCTCCCGAGATCGGATTACACTTGTCATACCACACTGACATACAGAAATATAAAACACGTAGTTCAAGTAATAAATAATATAAAATGTAAGCTCACTTTCTAATCCATATAATGCGAGTAGAATCCTCCAATGGAGCTGGATTGTGCGGGTGCTACGTGACGTCATCGCAATTTCCAATTTTATTTACATACGAAACTCCTAACTTAATTCTGTTCAGACTGAAAATCGAGTGCGAA